CCAAATAATAAATAAATAAATAAATAAAAACAACTGAATTTCTTAATCATTCAATCACCAGTATGATATACATGGCTTATAAAACTTCACCCCTACACTACCCTTCCACCAAACATTCCTAGAGAAGATGATTTTCCTTTAAGTCTAAACAGTAGAAGCCAAACAAAAGAAATATGCTAAAATGTTTTTAAACATCATCCAATATTTTAATCATGATTTGACAGAGGGTGTGTAGCAGAGGTGTACCCAGTTGGCATCCTAAAGTAGCACAGACTGAGAAATATAACAAAGCAGTTCAAATTACAAGGGACTAGCTCATCATGTTCTCATAGATTTAAAATATTCAAAACTGCAAAGATGGCATTTTATCAAGCCAGACAAACACAAACCTTAGACATTACAGTAAAGAATCTACTATTATATTTGCTTTTTCCTGGGCAAACTATTTCTCCCAGCCTCACTGGGAAGTTTTTCTCTAACTAATCAGCTCCATAGGCTTTTTTTTTTTTTAAGTAGTACTGAGGGTTGAACTCAGGCCTTCACACTGAACTACATCACCCAGCCCTTTTTTACTTTGAGACAGAGTCACTGAGTTGCCAAGACTGGGGTACAAATTGTGATCCTCCTGTTTCAGCCTCCCAGAGTGCTGGGGTTACAGGCTTGTCCCACCACCTAATAGGCTTTTCTTGAATACCACCTTCTCGATGAAGTATTCCCTGTTCTTGCCAAACACTAAATTTTCCTACTCAAAACTCTCAGAGCTCTTATATGTATACATGTTATTGTACTTACCCTATTCTTTACCTGTCTAGTGATGAGGTTAATATGTACACGATGACATATAAACTTTGTTCTAGGAAGAAACTCAGATGTTGCAACAAAGACCAGAACTCAAACTAGTGTTTATAACAGAAAATACTAATGAAAAGAGAAAAAAATCCTTGAAATCAACATTTACAAATATATCTGGATGAGAATGAAGATACAATTTCTAAGCAACATGTTGTACTTTAATATCACATTTATATTTCAGTATCACACATGGCTGAAAATGAAATAGGCCATTACAATTTGATGTACTGCTTCATATAATATACTCATATAATTCAAAGATGAAAATCTATGCATATTCAAGATATGGGCACAAAAATCACAATGAGTGGTAACCTTATCACAAATGAAACAAGTTCAATCTGAAAGGTGTGGAAATCAAACTGCACTGCCTACTGGGACTCTTTTAACTAGAACAGAATCAAAAGTTGCCAAATAAAGGGAGCACATGGATGGATTTTAAAATAGAAAATATTTGCTAGCAGTTCTCAACTTCTTTCAGAAATAAAGTTGTCAAGACAAGAACTGGCAAGAAAGAGGACATATCTAACACATCCCTTCATACCCCAGATATATTTGCAACTCTGTTCATTTCTTTGATACATAATGTTAGAAAAAGAAACAGCATGCCAAGTTGATATGAGAAAGCAAGGAGGCTACAAACAAAGAAATAAAGCCTTACAACTCCTTTTTTAAAACAAGAACAAATCATTGACTGGAGCTGAGTTCTTTTTCTATGCCTTAAATTCTTTTCATTAAAAACTGTCACTAGGGCAGGGGATTTAGCTCAGTGGTGCCGCCCCCTGCCTCAAAAGCGCAAGGTCCAGAGTTCAATCGCTGGTACCAAAAAAACAAAACAAAACTGTCACTAAATTCTGACAACTTTTATTAAAAAGTTTCCCTAATTCCTCAGGCTTCATTAGCACATGGCTATGGCCCTGTGAAATTTTTCTAATTCTGACTCTGATCATCCTTCCCTCTAAATTACAAGATCAAACTTCTTTTTTTTCTGAAATATCTTTTACATTTCTGCCCCACTCAAAATCTTCCTTAAGATTCCTCACTTCCTATAGACTAAAATTAGGACATTTCCATCTCACAATATTACAATCCGAGTATACGGACCCAACCTTTATTTAAAGGCTCAGCTCTAGGGTATCCTTTTTGTTTTCCAGGACACTCTATGTTGACATACATTTTCATTCCGGCATTTCAGTCCCACTCCCATAGTATACAGTACTATGTCTGCTCTTCCAAATCTACAAGGTGAACATCTACCAAACATTCACTGTGCTCCAAGCACAAATGTACTGTCTAAAATCCCACAATTTTTTCACCCTTTTTCCTTCCATGTCAAGAGAGACCTCTTTAATGACTCTCCTTTATTTAACGAGTAAGAGACCAAAACGTACATTACTCTATCCTTTTAAGTCATACTGGTACAGCTGATAACACAAAGGAGTACCACAGATCAAGACAAAAGTTGCAGAATGAGAGATCACACATTCATTCATCACACTGAGTAATTACCACATGCCAAAAATAGTATTCTGGTTGATAAGCAAAGATCTTGTTCTCATAGAATGTGATTTTCTGTGTGTGACACTGGGGAGGACACCAACACCAAATACGTGAACAGAGAATCATTTCACACTACAAATGCTTTGATGAATAAAAGTCTGATATGCCAATAAATGATTTTAAGAGAGTTGTTTTAGAGATGTGAACAGGAAAGCCTTCTTAGATTTGATTGATATAAACTCAGCCATGTGATAAGACAGTTAAATAAAGTATTAAGAAATCAAAAGTCCTACATTTTATTTCAGGTTCAAAGACTTTCACTCAAATATGGTTACGTTTTATGAAACTCCTAAAAGACAACACAACATGAAAAAGTAAAACACAAATAGTGCCACTAAGGACTAACCAAAACTTGCCTTTACATAAAATACTTTTTAATGGTCAGGTTCTCAAGACCCAGAAAGCACACTCCAGCCCAGGTGCCTTCCCTTGCCAGAGTTCACAGCTCACTCCACTCTTTGGAGAGTTCCATGAAGGACCATCAACCTACACAACACTCTCAATGCATGTATGGGCCAGTTCTATTTTTCGGACTAGAAAAGTCTACAGGAGAAGATATTCAAATAACTTACACAAACTGATGACTACCACAAGTTTCACCAAGAGAAAGTACAAGGAATTTTTTGGTCTAGGGTAAAACACACTGCTCAAACTGCAGGACTCCAGGACAGGGGCCCAGTGGGAAAGGGAGTTCTAGTTCTATTCCAGGCATATTCAGGCTAGTACAGTAATTGAAACATACTTTGGGTCCCCAAACTAATTTCCTTGTCTGTAAACGGTCATGACTCCCGAGCCGTAAAGAGACACACGGGCCAGGACCGTCTCAAGTTATTTAAAATACTTCTACGAGGAGGAAAGCAGATGGAGGCTCGCGAACATTACCTTGACCAGCCACACTCCGGTGTTCTGTTTGGCGCCGGTCAGGTCGAGTTCCCCACGCTCCGCCATGGGTCTGTCGCCGGTGGAGACGTGAAGGACGGAGCAGCGGCCCCGAGAGCTGGAGGGCTGCGGGGCAAGAGCTTAGAACAAAGTGCGAGTCGCCGTGGAAGACAGATTGTGAGAGCCCTCACAGTCCAGGATACTAGGAACCCAGGGAAAGAGGAACACGCCGCTGGGAGCCGGGAACGGCGCCTGCGCACTGCTACTCTCAGTACGGCGGGCTGGTTTGGACAAACTTTCTGTTCTCGCAATTCCTTGGGTGGGCGTGGCCGCTGGTGTTGTACCCTCGAGCGATTAAAACCAAGGGAAGCTAGAGAAAAGCCAAAAAAGCAGCCACGCCTTTAACAAGGTCTGTATTCCTGAAGAAAAGGAGTGGTAAAAGGGAAAATTCGAGTTAAAAAAAAAAAAAAGAAAATTAGAGTTCAAAGAGACAAAAGCTCTCAGTATACGTCCAACCCTAGCTAAAGAGAACCAGACATTTGGAGGACAGGTGGGGATAATCAATTGGCATTCTTGGTCAAATATCATTAGCCAAGTGGGCACTGAGGTGGGATGAAGTGGCCCGGGATATATTGAAAGCATACCATTTCTAGATCTGAAAAGAAAGCGATGTCTCAATGCAGAGGCTGCCCCTGAGTTCTTCTGATTAAGCAAGCAGAACACATCCCTTCCAGACTGACTCGAAAAATGAAGGCCCCGGGTTTTAGCTCAGTGGCACCGCGCCAACTTGCAAGAACAGAGTCCTGAGTTTGATACCCGGTACTGGAGGAAAAAACAAAACAAACAGACTCCAAAATCCACCAGCATGTAATTGGGTCAGTAACGATACACGTAAGAGATAAACTTGATTGTTTAACTCCCCTCCTGAAACAGTTTTCTCCTCTTCTTGCCTCTAGAATAAAATTCAATTAGGCCCTCTCAATTTAATCCCTTGGCACCTACCCTGCCCCACACCCAATCCATCCACTACCACCCCCAACACGCCAGGATCTTCCTTAGTCATTCAGAGCCTCTGCACACCTGATTCTCTTTTTTCAGATGTCCTGTTTTTCCCTTTTCCTCACTCTCACCTCTGTCCTTTGGTTGTTAAACTTCTACCTATGTTTCATGATTAATGGAAATGTCACTTCCTATGAGACTTTTTATCAACTCCTCCAGAGGAAGTTCAATTTCTTAACATCACAGTGTGTAATAGTTAGCACAGGGCACTATGTTTATATATATGTTTACATGTCTACTGTCATTTTTTAGACTATGAACTCCTCCAAGGCAGAAATACTGCTTCCTTTCCAACCGTATTGAGGCATAACTGATGAATAAAAAATAGTCCTTTATTCATTTTATATGTACAACGTCTAGCACAGTGTTTGACGCATTGTCAGATTTCAGCAGGCTTTGGTTGAATGAACATTCACTGAAGAGAAACAAACAGGAAGGTGTAAGAATGGCAAGTAATTTATTGAATCACATGTTGGAGCCATGCACAAAATTAAAGAAATTCTATCGCTGTGTAATGCAGGGCCAGGAAAAGCTGTAAGGTCTTTACGACCAGCTAGCAAAACTAGTAACATGGGAGAAACCAGGCATGTATTGAAATGGAAGATTTCATTTTTGTGTAATAGCTCGGGAAAGGGCCTAAAACTTATAAAAGGCAAGCTGGGGAGAGGAATTGCTTTAAGCTTCAACTAAGTAGAAGGAATAAATTAAAATGAAACCTTGAGAAGGCCGGGGATTCATCTCAGTTGCACAACGCCTGCCTCGCAAGCACTAGAGTTTGATCCCCAATACTGCAAAAACAAAATGAGACTATGAGAGGAGAGAGAGTAAAGTTGCCTGGAGCACTATAGGCAGGGGCTTTAAAGTAAAAGATTAAGACCTTGTCCTTGATCTATGGGTCATGGAAAGCCTTAAAGGAGGGAGGGGGAAGGAGTGTGTGTGTGTCTGTCTCTGTGCTTAAAGAGATTGAGAGAGAACAATGGCTAAATAAAAAGAGAAGAAAGAAAAAAGTGAAGATTTGAAAATTCTTATATAGGAAAAAATCTTATTCCACACAACTCTACCTTATATACTGTTGAACAAAGAACAGTCTTTCCCTATCATTACTTTCCCAAACCCCTTCTAGCTTGGGAAGGGATGTTTACAGAGCTGTGAGAGAAAAGGAGTACATGACCTCTGTGAATCAGATTCACAGATTTCCCCTAGAGACTCACAAGGTGAAATACAATGCAGCCAGATTTTCACCTTGCTAAGAGTGATTATATGCCAGACATTTTGCTGTGTTTTACCCATATCATCCAATTTAATCCTTGTAACAGTATGCTAGAATAGCAGCTATTATTCTAAAATACACCCCATAATCATTAAAGAATCATCTTTTTTTTTTTTTTTTGGTACCGGGGATCGAACTCGGGACCTTGTGCTTGTGAGGCAGGC